GTGGGCAGTTCCACTCTGTCCTCTAGGGGCGCTGTGGGTCAGAATGGACTCCAGGCAGTGGGTGTGGTTTGGGCTTTGCTTCTGTGAAGACTGACAGCCTAGGAGACCCTGTGGGCAGGTCCACTCTGTCACTTGGAGTCACGTAAGTCAGAATCGATGGCCCGGTAGCAACAATGGGTGCTGACCAGCGTGAGAAACACTGCTAGACTTAGAACCCCTGCTGGCTCCCGCTGCAGCACGTTCAGAACCATCAGCTGGGCGCCGTCCCTGCAGGTCCCTGGGGCTTGACTGGCCACTGCGGCCCTGGCTGTGTGGACGGGCCGATAGAGGAGGGTCCTGACCAGCCTGTTCCCCTGCCTGGGGCTCCCTCCGGGCCTCCGCCTGGGCCCCGGACCCTGTGGGAGACACGGACTCGCCTGTGGTGATGACACAGTCCACATCACGTGTCTGGAACTCCTGGTTGAAGAAGTCGGGTCTGGATGCTTCAAGCTTCTTATCGTAGCAGGGCATCACCGTCACATGGTAGAGCTGGTCAGGGGCCAGGTGCTGTGCGGGGTCAGGGGACATACAGTTGTCCTATGTGTGGTTCTAGGACACCCTGCACACGGATGTCACCTGTGCCCTGGCTCCTCCTCCGAAACCTCCCCTGTGAGCCTGTATGTTATCAGGGCCCGGGCTCATCGCTCCAGAAAGGGGGGCCGCCTGCAGACACGGGCCAGGCACAGGCCAGCCCCAGCAGAGCAATCGGGGCCTTCCGAGTGGCTCAGACGCCATCTTGGATGGAGCCAGGAGGTCAGGCAAGGAACGGGCAGGTACTCGGACTTGGGGAGACTCGGGGGCACAGCAGCCACTGACCAGCAGCTCAGCTTCCCTTGTCACTGGCCACTGACCTGTGGCCTCCACCTCCCGGCCCCTAAACCACAGACCTGGGCTGCCAGTGAGCACGGTCAACACCTGGAGCAGGCCCTCCAGTGACAGAGGACCAAGTGTCAAGGAACAGGGTGGTGGAACATTCCAGAAGGGACGCGCTCACTGAACTGTGACATGCCGTGTGTCCGTGGGAGCCCTCTCTCACATCTCACAGTCACTCTCCACCCAGTGCTGTCACCTGCTGCTGGGCGAAGAAGTCCTTGACCAGGGCGCCCATGACCTGCTGTGGGGACCGGGCAGTGCTGAGATGCGGGAGCAGGACGCCGCCGTGAGTCTTCTCGGCATAGCAGATCCAGCCTGGGCCGACGGGAGCAGAGGGCTGTGGTGAGGGTACCTGTGCCGGCCACCTCTCACCACCGGGAAGGGACTGACTGACGGGTGGGCTGTGTGTCAGGACTTCACTGCACAGAGGGACACCCGTTCTCTCATCACCCACAGGTATATTCTGTAGTGGCTCACAGGGCCCCCACCCAGAGTTATTGAGTCCATTCTGACCCACAGCGCCCCTAGAGAACAGAGTGGAACTGCCCACAGGGTTTCCAAGGCTGTCAGTCTTCACAGCAGCAAAGCCCAAACCACACCCACTGCCTGGAGTCCATTCTGACCCACAGCGCCCCTAGAGGACAGAGTGGAACTGCCCAACAGGGTCTCCCAGGCTGTCAGTCTTTAAGGAAGCAATGTGCCTCATCTTCCTCCTGGAGCGTGGCTGGTGAGTTTGAACCGCCCACCTTCTGGTTAGGAGCTGAGCACTTCTCCCACCATGCCACTATGGCTCCTTTGCTAGGAATAGTAATTCCCCAAAACGCTGCTTTTGGGAACATACAGTTGAGTGCTTTAAGCACCATGCCACTGGGGCTCCTTGGCCCCACCCTAGGAAAGCATAAAGACTCAAAGGCTGACCCCCATGCAGGTCTCCTCCTGGGGCCCCCGGGCCAGTGCTTCTGACTCATTCCCACAGAGCCGTCCGCCTCCTGCCCCTGCCCTGTGGGCTCTGAGCTGCTTACATCCAACAAGCCTTGACTCTCAGCTCCCTGTCACCCGCACCCAAGGGCGGGTGCAAGCAGTATGCAACTGCCTGCTGACCTAAACGGGTGGCAGTTCCCACCCAGCCAGTGGTCGCAGAAGGCGGGCCCGCATGCCCCTGAAGGCCACGGCCAGGAAACCCTATGGAGCAGCTCCACTCTGTAACCTGAGGGCCCCCACAAACCAACGACAGCAGGATCCCGGGACGTGCGGCCCACACGCACCTGGGCAGGCAGCAGCCAGCACGGGCAGGGCCTGTTTGGGGTCAGCCTGGTTCCGGAAGCGCTGCACGAACTCACGCTGGCTCTCGATGAGGCTGAAGTTTCGTGAGAAGGCCGTGTCGAACACGTAGTGAACTCCTGGAACCGGCAGCCGGCTCAGCCCGGGGCGGTGGTCACGACCGGAACCGCGGCCACCGGTGGACAGCAGCCAGAGCAGAGTAGGCTCTGAGGGACTAGGGGTGGTGCCCCTGCCTCCCAGAGGGACCCTCAGCATGTTTGTGGGGTCACACAGTGGTGCTGCTGGCCTTGCCCCTGCCTTCCAGAGGGACCCTCAGCATGTCTGCAGGGTCACACAGACACGCCGTGCTGTGGACAGTGACCACAGTGTTGCCCAAGAGCCTACAGCTGACATGGGCATCCTTGTCTGGGGCCAAAGGTCCCTCTGGTGGGGCTAAGCCACACTGTGTGTGGAACCTGGCCACCTGTCTACAGGGGGCATGCACTCAGTGTCCTCCCCAGCTCTGTGTGCAACGTGGATACCTATCTACACGGAGGCGTCCACTCTGGGAAGCCCCTGCCCCGGCCCCACGTGGTGTCCCTCATGGCAGAGCTGTCACTTGGGCTGGAGCTTTGGGCTCCACCCAGAACAAAGTATTACCGAAGCATCAAGTTCAGAAGTGAGTGAACAGCCAGTGGCCGGTGTGTGGACCCCCCCACCCCCAAGTGCCACCGCTCACCCACCTATCTTTTTGAAGAAGGAAGTTAACTTCCTGGCAGTGTCTGAAGGGCTCAGCTGAAATCTCGCAGCTAACGAAGCCGTGGACTGTGGGGAGACCGAGACGACCACCAGCTTCTGCTGCCCTGGCGCTGCTGCCTGGGAAACCAGGGGATGTGGTTAACCTTATATCCACGGACACTTCCACAGGAGCCCTGGTGGTCAAGGCATTCAGCTGCCAACCAAAAGGCCGGCGGTTCACACACACCATGAGAGAAAGGTGAGCCGGTTTGCTTCTATAAAGATGAACTGGAAAGATGAACTCTGGGGCAGTTCTACCCTGGCCTCTAGGGCTGCTAGGAGTCAAGAGTTGACTCAATGGCAGTGGGTTTTGTTTTGGTTTATAGTCACCCACTGCCCGTGAGTCCATTCCGACCCACAGAGCCCCTAGAGGACAGAGCAGAACTGCCCCCCAGGGTTTCCAAGGCTGTCAATTTCTGTGGAAGCAGACAGCCACATATTTCCTCCCCTGAGCACCTGGTGGGTTTAACTGCCAACTTTTCACTTTACGGAGACATGTGTATATACTTCTATTATTGTGGCAAAACACATATGAGAAAGTGGTTTCTACCCTTTCTACGTGTATGATCTGATTACGTTAATCACATTTGCCATGTAGCTGTCACCACTCTGCAAACCCAAGTCTTCCATCTCTCTTACCAGAGATTCTGCCTCACTCAGCAACATCCACCATCCTCTCCTGCCCCAGCCCCTGGGACTGGGTGAACACTGGTCTCTACGCCTCTGCCTGCTACAGGCATTTACACAAGTGAGATCACAGGATATCATCCTTTGGCGCCTGGCGTCTGTCACTGAGTGTAATGTTTCTGAGGTACATTCACGTTGTGGCATCAGGACTTCGTTTCCTTGTGGCTGAGGAGTGCTCCGTGGTGGGGATGGACCACAGACAGTGTTAGTCATCATCTGTGGACAGGCTGTCTACTTGTATCTACTAGGAATAGCGTAAACCCAGCATGGTGGGACCCGTCAACTCTTAAGTGCTCACAAGATGGCTGGACAGCCAGGCGTTAGCTCCCTCAGGTGGGCCAGTTCCACACAGACTTCAAACCACAGGATTGGGGCCTGGTTCTCATTGCTGGAGAACACTGTGAAGTAACTTGCTAAGAAGGATGCCCTCACACCGCCCGCCTTGACAAGTGAATGACAGAATGCCGGGTGATGTCAGGCAAAGAGGGTCTTGCAGCCCATGCACTGCCCACCTTATTAGCGTTGAGAACCTTCCGGAGCTCTCCGTGGCTCTGCTGGGTGATGAGCACACTCTCTGCTGAGGTGACACAGCCACTGCACGCCAGGCAGTCGTTCAGCGATATCTTTGCTTTCTCCAGCCTCCGCGTCCCACCATCCTGCAGAGAGAGAGAGAGCCCAGCTTGAGACCAGGGAGAGAGGGAGGCCGGAACGTCCACCCCTGCTGAGAAAACAGCCTCCTAGAAGCTGGCTGTTTGGCCTGGACCCCCACCCCAGTGGCTCTGGGCCCAATTCCTCACATGCAGGGATTCTCCACATCACCTCGGGAGAGAAGGAAGTGGAAGAACTGTGTCCGGACCCTCCAGGTGGGACGTCTTACTTGGCTCACTTGGAAGTAGCTCCCATCATCCTCAATGTGAATCCTGGCCACGCCGCTGCCCGGCCTCTTGTCCACTTTCACGGGCTTGATGCAGTCCTGAGCCGGGAGGAGACCCCAGACCAGGGCTGAGTGGACGGAGCCCCTGGGAAGAAGGGCTCCCAAAGGCCAGCTGCCTGAGGCCCTGCCAGAACCCCAGACGTTGGGACAGTCACATGTTCTAGGGTGCCTCACCCCATTCTCACACAGACCTGAGGGTCCCCAGTCAGTACCATGACCAGTGCTGACAGGACCAGCAAATGACCCTCGCCCTTTCCAGGTGTGAACAGGTGTGGCCACAGGGTGATGCTGGCTACTGAGAGGAAGGGACAGGCTTGGGAGAAGTGCTCTGTTTAGTCACCTCCCTGTCCAGTGCCTGGAAACATGTCACTCCCTGTGTGTATGCTCTCATCGCTAGAATACCATGCTGGCCACCCCCTCCTGAAGAACACCCGCCCCAGAAGGGCCTGGCCAGGCCCACCCCTGCCCACAGTGCCGGGGGCCAGGCCCATCCCTGCCCACAGTGCCGGGGGCCAGGCCCATCCCTGCCCACAGTGCTGGGGGACAGCCCCAGCCCCCTTCTCCTTTTCCTCACTGGCACCTCGCAGCTGGGACCCTCACAGCCGTCGGCGAGCAGCAGGCAGATGGGTGTCACCCCGGCCTTCTGTTCTCAAAGGCAACTGCACGTCTTCTGGCCCCTCCCCACCCCACGCAGCACCCACCGCACACCCTGAGGTCTACTGAGCTGCTGCGGGCACTTCACATGCACCGTCTGCCTGTCCTCGCAACCGAGGTGGGATCCCGGGCTGCTTCTGGATGAAGGGACTGCAGCTTAGAAGCTAGGGGGCCTGAGGCCTGGCAGATGTGGGCATGGGGGTTCTGAGCCCAATCCTGTCCCCGCCACTCTCCAGCTGGGTGACGCTGGTGGTAAATTACCTACCACCCGTTAGCGGCAGTTTACCCACTCAGAGTGGGAGGAGAGGCACCTTCCTGACTGAGCGGTCTTGTAGGCACAGGCTCCTATCTCACCAGGACACAAGCCGGGGTCCATGGAGTCCCTTAGGGCATGGGCTGGGGTCGCTGGAATCCCTTAGGGAGTGGGTCTGGGTCCCTGGAGTAGCTTAGGGCGCGGGCCAGGGTCGGAACCTATTTCTCCGGGAAGGAAGCAAGCCGGAGCTGAGAGGAGGAAGCTCCCGCCGCGCGGGAGGCGGACGAGACGCGGCCTCTCCGGCCCCTAGCACTCCGGTCCGCCACGACCCGCTCCTCGTGTGTGGCCGCCCACCCTCCCGAGCCGGCCCGCCCAAGCCAGCTCACCTGCGACGGCCCGATGAAGTCATCCAGGTCCGTCAGCTGCAGCACCCCACTGAAGGGCGACGCCATGGCGGCCACACTGCCGCCAAGCACCGCGCGCAGGTGTCGCCAAACGACGCAATAGGCCTACTGTTCCGCCACGCTGCTGAAAAGCGCCCCGCGCGGCGCCAGCGTGCCTCGCCCCGCGATCGACGCCCGGAAGGGTGCACGCCCCCTTCTGGGGGGCCCGAGTACCTTCGTTCTGCTCACTGATTCAGAACCCGGAACGGAGCCTGACACAAAGTCGGCGCTCAGTTTCCGTGGAATGAAAAGCGTGGGCGTGATGGAGCAAATGAAAGGAATTTCAGAGACTGTGTGTGTGTGTGTGTGTGTGTGGGGGGGTTCCTTAGTTCCTAGTGGGTCATTGCAGGGCCGTGGGGGCCCGCAAGGACCCCTGCTCTAGGGCGCCCCTCTCAGGGCCCCAGACCCTTTTGTGTCGTTTTAAGGAGCAGTTGGTGCAAACTCCGTTTCTCTATGAGCGCTTGTAACCCGAATCAGCCATTCTTATGCCGATCACGTCCGGTTCTACATCGAATGACTGTTTCTTACTGGAACCTCCCAGAAGAACCCCGGGGTCGGGTCTGGGCCCAGCCCCGGTAGTCTCAGTCCCTCTGGGAGTCCCTGGAAGTCTTACCTGGTCCTGTTATAATAGAAATACCACAAGGGGTGGCTTTAACAAACACATTTCTCTTATAGTTAAGGAGGCTAGGAGTCCCAAGTCAGAGTGCTGGCTCTAGGGAAGGCTGTCTTCTCCGGAGGAGGGTCCTTGCCTCTTGGAGGCCTGTTCCTCCGGGCTCTTTGCCATCTAACCTGCCTGTGTTTCTGCTTCATCTGCTCAAAGAGGTTGATTTTAGACACATCCTACCATAATCCTGTCATTAACACAGCAAAGAAAACCGGTGCCAAATGGGATTATAACCACTATGGGCGTAGGATTTGCAACACATATTTTGGGGATCCAATTCAGTCCATTGTATTGCGTGATGGTCAGCCAGTGTTTGGTTCAGAAAATATGATCACACACTCACACACATGCACTCACACACTCACACACCCACTCTCACAAAAACAGCATATACTCATACATTCTCGTACACACATTCACACACACAAACACAACACACTCATACATTCACAGACAACACACACACACACTCACACACACTCAGCCCGACTGCAGCTGCGCCACACATTGGTGCCGAAGCTTCTTCTGCCCTTAACGGGTGGAGTCCTCCAGCGCCCAGGGGCGGAGCTCGGCCGGAGCCCTCCGGCCCCCGGGGGCGGAGTCCTCCGGCCCCTGGGAGGTCCTTTATTACTCGCCGCTTTTCCCTGCGGTCCCCAGGCTCTGGTGCCAACCATGACGCCTCCGGTCTTTGCATTCATATTTTGCAAATTGTTTCATCATCATCATTAGCGAGTATTTACCGCCCCCTTCCCATGTGCACGGCTCCCAGGCTGAGCCTGAGAAGGCGGCTCCCACAGCCTGGCAGGACGCGGGGCCAGCCAAGGACGCGCGTGGCGCCGAGGCCCCGTGCACCCCTCCGGGGCCCTCGAGTTGGCTGCAGTTCTGCATGCTCTCGCGGGACTCCCCTGAACCTCCTCTTGGCTCGCACTGTTTCCTTGGAGGCTTGGAGGCACCAAATCCCCTACCCTGGGCTGTAGTCCAAGAAGTTCTGGTGGTATAGCAGTTAAGGCATTTGGCTGCTAACCAAAAGGTTGGTGGTTCGAACCCATCAGCCACTCTGTGGAAGCAAGATTTACAGCCTTGGAAACTCAGTGGGTCGGAAACCTAAATGAGCGTTGCTGTGAGTTGGAATTGACTAGATAGATGGCTGTGAGTTTGGTTTGGTTTGGATTTGGGCTATAGTCTAGACTCAGCCTGTGTGAGCACCCAGGGGCAGCTGTAGCAAAAGAACACAGAGTAGGGGCTGAACTCAGGGTGTCGGCAAGGGCCTGCCCCCTCCAGGGCTCTAGGGGAGGGTCCTTCCCCCTCGGCTCCAGTTCCTGGTGGTCCCAGGTGTTCCTGCGGCTCTCACCCCAACCTCTGCCTCTGTGGCCACGTAGCATCTTCCCCTCTATTTGTATTTATTTTATTTTTTCCCTCTCTCTGTGTCTTCCCTCTTTTCTTTGAAGACACTTGTCAGTGAACTTAAACCCACTGCCCTAGAGTCAATTCTCGACTCACAGCGCCCCTAGAGGACAGAGTGGAACTGCCCACAGGGTCTCCCAGGCTGTCAATCTTCACAGAAGCAAAGCCCAAACCACACCCACTGCCTGGAGTCCATTCTGACCCACAGCGCCCCTAGAGGACAGAGTGGAACTGCCCACAGGAGGCTGTCAATCTTCACAGAAGCAAAGCCCAAACCACACCCACTGCCGTGAAGTCCATTCCGATCCACAGCGCCCCTAGAGGACAGAGTGGAACTACCCACAGGGTCTCCCAGGCTGTCAATCTTCACAGAAGCTGCCTCATCTTCCTCCCCTGGAGCTGCTGGTGGCTCAGAACCACCAGCCTTTGGGTTAGCAGTGAGGTGTCTTAACCACTACACCACCAGAGCTCCTTCATCAGAGCCAACCTTAATCCAAGACGATCTTGTCTCAAGATCCCCCACTCACATGTGCAGAGCACATTTCCAGATAAGGACACACTCAGGGTTTCTGGTTGGATGTATCATCAGGGGGACCACCATTCAGCCCCAAAGAGCCCTCATGTCCACAGTCTTGTGGGGCTCTCAGAGGTTGAAGGACAGCTGAATACCAAGGCATTTGCCTGGCCTAGCTCACCTCCTAAATAATTGTGTGAACTCACCAATAGCTCTGGGAGAAAGATGAGGCAGTTGCTTCTGTGAAGATTGACAGCCTTGGAGACCCTGTGAGGCAGTTCCACTCTGTCCTCTAGGGGTGCTGTGGGTCGGAATAAACAACCAAAACCAAAAAAAACAAACTTGCTGCCATGGAGTTAATTCCAACTACACCATCAGAGCTCCTTAATCAAGTCAACAGCACTGAACAACAGAATTCACATGATGGGCCCCTGGGTGGAGCAAATGGTGGTCAACTCGTAGCCAAAAGGTTGGGCATTGGACCCACTGAGAGACGCCTCAGAAGGCAGGCCTGGTGACCCACTTCTGAAATGTCACAGCCTTGAAAGCCCTGGAAGCAGCTCTACTCTGCACACGTGGGGTGGCCAGGGTCAGAATCGACTGGAAGGCAGCCAACCACCTTCCTTCTGAGGAGCGGCTGGTGGGTTTGAACTGCCAGCCTCGAGTTAGCAGTCACATGCCTTAGGCACTACGCCACCAGAGCTCCCAACGATATTCACATGATGCAATATATCTGCCACTGTGATGAGTATCAAGGATGCATCCCTGCCCTAAGAAATGGGGAGGAGAAGCGGGGCTCGCTGCCCCAACACCCCGTGTGGCTGTGGGAGGGAGAAGTAGTCTCTGTGGCCTAGGAGAACCCTTGAGTCACCAGCTGCCTGAATGCAGGCCCTCCCCACCCTGGCTGTTGGTGCCCCGAGCACACAGGCAGTAAGCAGTAGGGGTCTCCAGAGCTCACGGGGTGGGGTGGGGGCTTCCCACTCCTGTCCCCCAGCACTCTACTCCTGACGGTTTGTGGCCCAGGAGCTGCCAGGCAGGCATGAGGACTGGTGAGGACGTGGAACCCATTGTGGCCACCTCCATCTGTAAGACAGGTAGAGGTACAGACAGGTGGACTCGGGGTGGCTTTCCCAGAGAACTGTCAGCAGTGGGAGAGACTCAACCGATGGGGGTCTAGAACCCGTGACAGTGGGCTCACTGGGCTCTGGGGCAGGCCCCCACTGCTGCACGTTCCAGGATCCAGGACAGATGTGTCCCAGGTGCAGCCCCTCCCCTGGTGCCTGGCTGAGCGCACCATGCCCCCTGCCCCGAGGCACATACACCACCTCTGTGAAGCCACATTTGAGTAGTTTTATTTGCTGGAGGGAATTGCTCTTGGCCGTGTGCACACCATTAGCAGTGTAATCCACACTGGCCCCTGTCCTCGGGGGGCCGCCACAGCTTGTCAACAGGTGTGGTCCTGGCACAGGCCCTGGGTGGCCTGCAAAAGCTGCAATTAGCTGTAAATGAGGCGGCCTGCGTGACCCGCTCCTCCTCGGGGACTTGGAGAGCCAGAGCGTCACAGCAGGAACAGCAGCAGTGACAACGCAGGTGGGATGCCTGCTCTGGGAGCTGGGAGGGGCTGCGTGAAACACCAAGTGTCTCTGAGTCTCCTGACGCTCGAGCCCCTGGGAGGACAGCCCGCTGCCTACCCTCCATGGCACCTGGGGCCCGTCTGCCTCACCCCCACACACCTGCCTGGACTCAACAGCACTATCCCAAGGGCCTCTGCACACACACTTTGTACGCAGACCCCCTTTCTGGTGGTCTGAGAAGGCTCCTGCCTGGGAGCAGAGTTGTGTGGCTGCCAGATGGGTCTGGGGTTGCCATTGGAGGTCCCAGGTCTAGGGGTGCCACTCAGGGCCTCCACCTGCAGAGAGGATGGGGGTGGAGGAGCATGGCCAAGGACTTGGGGGTGCTGGGTGGTGGTCACCACATGCAACATGGACAGCATGGTTTTCTATCCTGGCTGCCTACTAAGTGTGAGCCCCGCCCATGTCTCCCTGCCTCTCCCACGAGCCCTGCGGTGAATCTGCAGATGGGGACCCATGGCCTGGAAGCTGGGGTGCACACACTACAGCTCCACAGAGGAGACCAGAGAGCTGAAGGGGCCCGAGTCCCATTGCAGTTAGGCCAGGCTGCTGGCTGTGGCTTCTCAAAGGAGCCCTGGTGGGGAAGGGTGTCTGGGGTCATCTCCCATACGGAGCCCTGACTTGAACAATGGATCCTCTCTGGGCTCTGGGACTCCAGTCACCAAGCAGATGGGACTGACGGCAGAGGGCGGTGTGGCTGGGACGCCCAAGCCCAAAGGGGCTGAAGACGCAGTGGCGGAGTCTGCTCAGGCAAGGCTCCAGGCAAGGTCGCTGTGCCCAGCTGGCTGCCTTCAGC